TCTTGGCAGGACTAGACTTCCTGTCTCAGGAACATCTCTGGAGTTTTTTCCCCCTCCTTTGCTGGTACTTTGCTTGTGTGGAGTGACCATTCAAAGTTACAATGGCACTGAAAAAAGTGACTTATGACCATTTTTCACACTTACGACTGTTGCAGCACCCCCACAGTCATGAGAGGCCAGGTGAGGAGATGCGTGCCTTGATGTGAGTGATATTGAGTTGGCCATGCCCAGCCAATAATATGACCACCAAGCCATGTCCACCCAGTCACATGACTACCAAGCCACGCCCATCACCTAAGCCACACCCACAGAACCGGTTGTTAAAAAATTTGAATCCCACCCCTGGGTGTAAGGTCAACAGACACCTCTGTTTATATGTCAACTCATTCCAGCTTCATCATGCACACTCCTCTGACTATCAATTTATTAAGTTCAAATCCCTTTTTGGAGGGAGAGGGTAGATGAAGGAATATTGATCTCCAGAAAGACCTGCATTTATTCTCCCATGATATTCTTATACCCACCATACTGTCCCATATCCCCCATCCCCAGAGGAACAGACTGTACAAGACAGCTGTCTGATTTCTTTCTCATCGAAAGCCATAGTAATTGAGAGCATTATTTGGTGATGGAAACATGCCCACAGCAGACTTAAACAGCCAATAGGATGTGAGCTGTCGTCGCCTCTGTCCTCATCATCACCAAAATGCAGAAGAATGTTTGTATGGCAAGATTTGTGATGAAAAAAGAGGGGAAATGCCACTTTAACAGCACAATAATTATAGATTACTTCAGGCTGCCCTAGAAGCAGACTGGGGATGAGATGAGGGCACATCATTAAAAATGGTTAGTAACATGTTTTTATGCCACAACTGGTAAAACATGAAGATAAGTCTGTAATTTTGCATTCAATCTTTTCAAGGCAGGCCACATGCTTCAGCTGCAATAATAAAGCAAAAAAAAAAAAAAAAGCAAAAAAATATAAATATAAATCTACTTGCTTAATTTTTATATTCTTAATACAGGAATTACCACATTCATAAAATTGTGAGATTCAAGTAACTAGCTTCTATGTGATCATCTTTTATAGTATCCCATTAATTGATTTGTCTCATATTTTAACTTTAATTCACTTCTGGATTTATCAATGGTACAAATCATTGTGTGGTTTATTGCAAGAAAACTATGTGGTACAGTTAGAATTTTCAGAGGAGGAATTTGTTACTTCTAAAACAATGATGAAGAATGTGGAACACCAATCTTACACAGCACAAATGCAAGCCATCATCAATGTGGTATCCACCAGAGGAATGGATCATTAACGACTTAGATGAGGGAATAGAAGGGGAACTTACCAAATTTGCAGATGATACTAAGCTGGCAGGAATAGCTAACACCCAAGAAGATAGGCTCAAGATCCAGATGGATCTTGACAGACTAGAACACTCAGCCATATCTAACAAAATGAAATTCAATGTAGAGAAAAATAAAGTCCTACATTTAGGTAAGAAAAACCAAAAGTACACATATAGACTGGGTGAAACCAGGCTCAATAGCAGTAACTTTGAGAGGGATCTTGGAGTCTTAGTGGACAATCAGCTAAATATGAGCCAGCAGTGTGCAGCCGCCACCAGAAAAGCTAATGCAATCCTAAGTTGTATTAACAGAGGGATACAGTCAAGATCAAGGGAGGTACTAATACCACTCTATAAAGCCTTAGTAAGACCACACCTAGAGTACTGCATCCAGTTTTGTTCACCACATTATAAAAAAGATGTTGAGACTCTAGAAAAATTACAGAGAAGAGCAACCAGGATGATTAGGGGACTGGAGGCTAAAACATACAACGAACGGTTGCAGGAACTGGGCTTGGCTAGTCTAGTAAAGAGAAGGACCAGGGGATACATGATAGCGGTCTTCCAATATTTGAGGGGCTGCCACAGGGAGGAAGGGGTCCAGCTATTTTCTAAAGCTCCTGTAGGCCAGACAAGAAATAATGGATGGAAACTGAACAAGGAGAGATTTAACCTGGAAATAAGGAGAAACTTTCTGACAGTGAGAACAATCAACCAATACAAGACCTTGCCCTTGGAACTTGTGGGAATGCCATCACTTGAGATTTTCAAGAAGAGATTGGATTGCCATTTGTCAGAAATGGTGTAGGGTCTCCTGCTTTGGCGGGGGGGTTGGACTAGATGACCTACAAGGTCCCTTCCAACTCTGATTATCCGTTATGTTATTATTTATCATGACCCCATCTTCCCAGTCACCCCACCCTTTATGACAGGAGGACGTTGGAGAAGGCTAATATTTAAAGTCTCTGTTTTCTTAATCTCTCTCTCTATATATGTATGTATGTATGTATGTATGTATGTATGTATGTATGTATGTATGTATGTATGTTATTCAGCTTTGTTCGGGTATTTTCCCACGTCATTATAGTTGTGCTTTTAAAGTTGTAGCAACGTTTCGGCAGAATCTCATCTGCCATCATCAGGCTTCTGTATTGTGTTCGTCTGTGAGTCAGACTTTCACAGCCGTTTCAGTTTTAAATTTGGGGCTAGCTTACTGCTGTGCCAGAATGGTTTTTTCTTCATCCTGATTGGTTGGGAGTCTTGGTCTGTGTTTATTGGTCTTGGAGTTTGCTGTGTTCTGCTTGATTGGTGTTTCTAATATCTTCTGTCTGTTTTGTGGCTTTTTTGTGTCTTGATTGGCTTGCAACATTGTGTTCCTGTATTGGAGGCTTTTAGTGCAGTTTGGCTCCGAGTAAATGGACGGCTATCATTTATTAGGAAGCTAGGTTTCATCTGGGTGCCTGGTTGGGGTATGTTTGAGCTGGAGGTATCAGGGGGGATCTGTTTGTGCCCAGGTGTTTGCCTGGCTAGTGGTGTGGAGATTTTTTTGTTTGTGAGTGCAGGCTTCCAGAT